TTAGTAGAAGAAAATGCCAAAATGGTCTTGAAGCTGATCGCGTCCTGTCTGGAAATCGCTCGTGGGAGTATCCAAAATATCGTGAAAAGCTACTCAGCGTTTGGCAGTGCGTCGAGCAGAGCTGGGGGGGGGCAGACATCTTCGACCAGCTATCAGAAATAACGGTTTCAAGGCGCCACCAGCCACAGAAGTTACACTCTGTATCCTATAGGTACATGGGTCGTACTTGCGTACTTTAAGACGCGCGTTGCAGCTGACTTGAAAAAAGTATAGTAGTTTGTAGTTCCCGTCAACGAAAACATTCGTCGTCTGCATTCGAAGCTTAATGACACCAAAAAATAAAAATCTTATCAAAGTGAAGCCTGGCGAAGTCGAATAATACCAGGAGGGACCAGAACTTCTCGGGACCGTATTCGCTCGTGCGCAGCTAGGACCCCACTCACCGTGGTAGCGCGTAAAACGGGAAAAATCAATAACCAGAGAAATTCTCGCGATAAAATACGTTTCTGTGGAGGCTTTCATAGTTGTTTATTTGTCTTGTATCGTGTGCATAATATAACGCTCCCCCTTTCCATCCCGACGACGAGATTTTCAAAATTTTGGGAATTCTCGTAGAACTTTAATTGGATTGTGAGCAGAGGTCATGCCAGAGGAGTCGAATTGAAGAGAGCTCTTACTGATTTCGCTGTTCCACCCATACAGATGCTGTACCCTGATGGAGGTTGCGGTCGAGGCCCCGACACCTAGTCAAAACCAAGCTTCCCTACACTGCCCTCCCCCTCTGCGATGCTCTAACGACAAATCGCGACGCAACCGCAGGAGTTATCGCTTGGCTCCGATCGATGCGATCTCTTTTGACAACCTTTTCAGGCTGAGCGTATTTTGTCTCGGTTCACCTATAATGCTAGGTCGAAGTCGAGCAAAAATCAAAGCGTAAAAGATGCCACTTCTATCAGCTCGTTGCTCCGAATGAACTCTTTTTTCGGTTAGAATGTACTTTTTTCTCCCTCAGAATGAACTCTCCTTTAAGATGGTTGATTATTTCCTATACGCACTATTTTATGAATATCCTTTGAGGAGGTCTACAGCGAGTTGTGTTTTTGAACAAGTCTATTGTCACATTCGTTTCCCTTCTAGACACTACGGTGTTAGGCATTGTTCACAGTCTGCGGCCCAGCGTTTCTCTGAACGCGGCGGTTCGGCGAAAAGCTTTCGATACGTATCGACTGGCGGTTGGGCGAAGAGTCTGGCGGTTGGGCGAAAGGGTTTTGATACGAATCGACGGGCGTTTCGCCAAACCGCGACGTTTTTCGCCTTCGACAAAACGCTAGCTCCATCGTCGGTGCGCCAAAACGCTAGCTCCATCAGATCCGGACTGGCGTTTTCGCCAGCGAAATCGATACGCATTTATTGCTTTTCGCCCAACCGCCGAACCGCGGCGGTTCGGCGAAACTAGCGGTTGGCGATTCTCCGATCGATGACTATTTTTTGCTTTTCTCCCAACCGCCGTTTCGTCAGGGTCGCAGACTGTGAACAATGCCTTACGCGGAGTTCCCACTTTGCGGTGATTATAAAGAAACGAATACGTGTTAAAGGAAAATATAAGTATCGATCTGTCGAAATTAAGGCATAGGAGAATTGATCTATTCCTTATTTTTTTTTCTTTGTGCACATTCTCCTATGCTCCATTGTCGCAAAGTACGAACGCTTCCCAACCTGTTCCGCCGTGTATTTTGGAAATTCTCAAGCTCAATTCTCGCGTAACTGATCCTTTCAGAGCAGATAGATGCAGCGTGGAACGCCAAATGGGGGCGGATTCCAGCCAAGCAGACAAAGGTGTGTTCCATTTTTCATTCTTCTTGTGAGTAAAGACAGGGTTTAGTGGTAAGTGGCTTTCTTGACAGCGCGTACTGCTCCAAAATCGGATCACGCTTACGCCAACTGAGCTCTCATTTTTGATTACAAAAGTCTTGTTGGAGATCGAAAAATTCTTTCGAATATCTGCCCGTCTTGCAGTAAGATGAGGTTTTAAAGGCTCCACGATTCTGGACGGGAGTAGGTGCACTGAAGGCACGCCAAGTGACAGAGTGGTAACTAACACAGAAATGAAGAAAGAAGCAGAAAAAAGGCCGTCCCAAGTGTCCCGTATAGAACCTCATGCTGAACCGCACTTGTACATGCACAAGGCGATGCAAAGGTGTGGATGGACGAGTTTGCTCTTGTTGATAGTAATTCTTCTCCCCAATTGGGTTGATCGAGTCGTGTGCTGACACTCTCACCATTCAAAATGAAGAGAGTAGCGGGTTTTTGAGGTGCTCCGTAAAGAGCGATTTGGGCACTATTTACCCTTCACTGCCCCAACCGTCCAGCCAGTTTTTGACCAACGACTTTTCTCCGTGGACAGATTTGGCTCAAATGTTGGCTCCTAAAGTAGTTTGACCTCTTGAATACGAATATCACATTCGCGTTAACCTGAAACTCTCTGGCGCCCGCGCCACAGGCGCCGGTGATTGGGATATTTTGGCGCCAGCGCCTGTAGCGCGGGCGCCAGGAGGTTTCGGGCCGAGCGGATGTGATATTCGTGTTCAGGAGGTCAGACTACCCCTGGAACAAGTTTTCAGCGAATTTGGTGATTCAGGGTATTTTGGCGCCAGGAGGTTTCGTGCCGAGCCGACTGTTCAGTAAGTTAAACTGCCTCAGGGAACAAATTTCTAGCTAATTCTGCCAAGGCAGAAAAAAGTCGGTCACAGACGGCCTGTTTTTGGAAAACTGGGGCAGTAAAGGGTAAATAGTGCCGCGATTTGAATTCATTTGCAGTTTCGAAGTTCGCCCTGGCACTGGCATTCGAAGGCCCGCGTCTTGGAATCTGCCAAATCCGCCAGGAGAGAAATTTGTTCGGGTGAGCCGTTTTTTGAATCTGCTACATAACAATCGTAGTGTACACGTTCACTTTTCAGGGTGGTTTTGCTGATGCACCAATGTCATCTTCCCGTCTCACTTCTTCTTTATTGAATCACGGGTTTCTCCCTACCAGTGGCTCATGGGGGACTGCGGACAGGTATTTTATTTGAGATATATCGGAAATACTTCATGTTAGTATGTTTGAAGTGGTTTACTTCAAGAAATCGACAAAACACACCGAACGAGCGGGCATCTGAATCATGGAGAACTCCCAGCAGGCCTCCTGGTCCAGGCGGGAGCAGTAGCGTCACGAGTACTGCTTTATCTTTTTGAACGTCTTTGGTCTCTATTGTGAAATGCTTTATTTTAGCGTTCGATAGTTGGGCACAACGCCAGGAACCGATATCTAGACCGAGCGGTGGAATTTATACAAATGTGATGAAGAGGTACTCTAGCATTATCATGTCGTTCTGCCGGCACAGTTCGGCGAGGGGGGGGGGGCATTTTGCACTATCACTGCTTCACTAGTTCCGGTTCACAAGTCTCACTCTGGTGAAACCTGTGAACTCTTGTGAAGCTGGAGCAAGCTCGTCTAGCCATCATGGTAAAACCTGTCAACTCGAGAAGAGGCTGTCTAGATGGGTCGACACATCGATGGGAAGTAAAAGTGCAGAATGGCCCCTTCCCGTCGCCGAACGGCACCCCTTCTGCCTTTTTCTATGTGGACCCTTTTATACTTTAATGGTGTCAAATGGCTCACTGCTAGTTAGGACTTTTTTACTCATCCAGCTCTGATAGAAAACGCCAAATTTCCAAAAAAAAGCGAATTTTCTACCGCGGTTATGAATACGCCTGTATCTAATGCTTGGAACAAGACGTGTCACTCGCCATCAGAAAATTGCCGATGCTCTGAGTTTCCAGTAAGGAAGGAATTTTGCGTAGGTCGTCGAAGGTACTTTAGGCAGTTTGTCTCGAATTTGTTTCGGGGCCGACCCGGAGCTGGGGAACTTTTCACATCGCGTTGCTCCCGATGATTGTTCCACCCGGAGCGCTGGATGTAAACCGACGTAGCATTTCAAATATTAGTTCGTGGGAAACCCGGAATATTTGAGTGATAAGCACAGGTTAGAGATTAGACATAATGCCCTCATGAAGGGGCTGTAAATGATGAAAACGCGGAAGTTCCAATAGACAGGGGAGCTATTGCTGCGGGTCGGAATTGCTAATGCATAAAATAGCAAGCGATCAGTTGCTGAATGAAAAAAAAATCAGTTAAGTAAACCCGTCCAAATAACCCCATATAGCGAGCCCCACGACCTGCCGCGCTTGCACGGTGCGCCAGACGCAGACTGAAAGCGTGGTCCAGCTCTTTTTTCCCTATTCTCACGTCCATTCGCCAGTCAGGTTGAGATAAGAGAGAAGTCTAGTCGGAAGATCGCCCCCACCATGTAGGTTTTGCAAAGTGAAAGCTGGGTCGGAGGTTCCCGGCCAGGCGGTGAAAGCAACCTGAGGTTCATTGCCTTAGGCCGCGAGCGGTTCCGCGATTCCACACCGTATTTTTATGCTGCAGAATTGCGCTTACATCCCGTGTCCCGTGGGAGCAGAACAACCATGTCAAAGGAACGGACCGCTGAATGTCAGATGAACTGTGGGCGGTTTCTGTTCCACTAGGTACCGCTCTTGGGCGATTGCGACATATCTGTATATGTCTTGATTCCGATGAATCGGGTTCGACACTCAATTTTTTACATTTTCGAATCGAGAACTAATGAAAGCTCTTGTCGCTCGTATCAGCTTGCGTACCGAACGACTGTTCTGGAATCTCACTCCCGGGTCGTAGATTTAAAAGCGATTCACCTCACGCCTCCCTCCGGACGCAGTACCACGAGCTAAGCTAACCAGCGGATCTGCAGAATGGAGATGTGTTAAATCGATAGAAGCTTGTCTAAGTGTACCTTTATCAATAAATATTGAGACAAGTCATAAACGACTAGTGCTGCATTCACATGAGACGATAACTATGAGAGAGGATAAAAATTTGATTATGAGAGCACTGCAGTTAGAGGCGTTGGAGGCTTGTTTGGTGGGTAGTGTGAACGCGCACTAACCGAGGAACCGATACATTGAATCGAGTGCGTGATGGTTCACTGGTAAGTCCGACGTTCGGACGACTTGATTCGACGTAGTGCTATTCACACGATACGCCCTTCACAGCTCGGCCTATCAAGCCCCTCCAGCCCTACTGCCACCATCACAAATTATACGCCCTATAAGTCCTTGTCAAGACAGTGCAGTTTTTCTATCTATATTTGTATACCTCATACTCTGTCGATCAACCGTCTCCATTCAAATCCATGCTAATTGCATCTCCCTGGTGACGTATAGGGTGGCCATTAAGGATGCCTCTGCAATACGGTTGGACTCGAAGGCACATTCCGACTTTGTTATTAGGTAAGCTAACAATAGGTAGCGCGCCCGCGGTCGGGTATACCACTTAGCCGGTTCGAAATCCCAGTGAGGGGAAACTTAGGGTGCTAAACTCGCCAAATGATTGAAATGCCACGTATCCAAGTGCACCCGGTCCAACGACCCGGGCGGCGTTTACTCGGTGGTCATATCTGTCCGTGCTGTGTACATATCGTATGTGGTAACATTGAAGTAAACAACAAATCCTGCAATTCAATGCTTTCCATCACAAGCTTTGGATCACATAGTGTATACATAAGTATTTACATCTATTCACAAGAGTGTGTGGATCTCGGACTCAAGCTATAGCATACTAGCTAATCTTGATATAATCTGTACTTTCTGACTAGATCTCATCCTTATAGTACATCCTAGGGTCTTGCACTCGCTCATGTTCTCATCACTCACGCGTTCTCTACCAGTTGCTCGGTAGTTGCTAAAATGTGAAATCCTGTCTTCTACTCGGCTTATTTACAACGTCGGATTCTGTAGCATACTTACTGGTTCTATGTCTTTTCTTTCCTTACACCGTGGCTCCTAACTCCATCTATACATGTGTAAACACAAAAAACGCATTTTTGATCACATATGCTGGAAAGCCAGACTTTTAGTCCGCAGAATGCACTGTTCTGAGAACAGATGCTCAGCTTCTCATGCTTTTCGCATCTGATGCAGCGTTTCAGACTAGGAGTGTGCAGCGTTTTCGTTCGCGCCGAACAATTGGCAGAAAACTTTGCCCAATATGTGTATCCACACGCCGCTAGATTTCAGGCCCGGGGGGAGTGCCCTAAAGTCCCCTCCCCGCACCTACTGTTTTCATGGTGCTTGGGAATAGGGCACGTGGTGAAAACGGGATCTAAGCAACCTTTCTGACCCCCCCCCCACTGAAATCTTATTGGAAGTAGATTTTTAGAGGTTTTTCAAAGGTTATAATCATAAAGATAGTCAAACTCAACTACAGTGGTCTAGTGAGCATTTTCGATTTTTCAGGGTTATGGAAACTGTCATTCCTAAAGACCGTCCTGTTCCAAAACCTAGTCCTGTTCCGAAACCGAATCTCCCGGTTGTGTCCAACAATTCATCCTCGTCATCATTCGAAAAGGGCATGATAAGAAAATCAGCATTGGAAAGCAGCTTGACCCGTAAACCAGCATTCGAAAGTGGCATGATCCGTAAAGAAGAGCAAGGTATCCGTAAAGAACATCAAGGTAATGTCGTAAAACAATGATCTTGGCATTTTCAACCAATATTTTCTACTATATAGAACGCAGCGAGTCTACCTCACAAGCAAATTTGGCAAACAATGATGAGCAAGAAAAAATGGAAAGGATCAAGGCTGAACTGGCAAGAATGAAGCGCGAGGACGAAGTAGGCATCGATGTATTGCTATGTTAAGACTAGCCGGTTTACTTTTGCTTTCCTTTTTAGAAAGCATATGAACTGCTTTTGGACGTAGTAAATGCTACGATGGATCCAACCAGTGGAGGAAAGGAAGCGTCTGTCTTAGCAGACTCTTCACCAGCTATAAGAAACCTGTCGACGAACAAATTGTTTGTTTAATTTTTAATCACTTTTTATTCAAGTGATTGTTCAGTATGTACTTAATTTAAACATGAGTCAAGAGTTGGTCCTTCGTTCCGCGGCCCTTGTGAAAGATAAACTGTGAATTCTTAAACATGGCTGAAGCTCCGACTTTCATCGTTGGTTAGGCCGGTGTTTCCAGTGTTTCTGGAATAGTTCTTCACTTCGGACTTCGATTTAGAATTTTTCCACTTGCCTTTGTTTATCGCTATGCAGCATTATTGCCGAGTTATGGATCCAGTAATTTGATCGGAAATTCACAGCCATTGGTTCACGAAAAGAAGAGACCCACTTTTCAATGTGCTCATCGACTTTGATGTCCGCAGTTCTCAGTGCATCGGTATGGTATTTAAGAATAGTCTATCGCTCCTTGTCACGTCCAGCCTTGAGCGAATGAGTTGTCGTCCTTCTTTCTGCCATGAATTCCTCTTGCTACCCGTATAGAGCAGACTCGAAGTTGCAGTTGCTGAAGGTCACTATCACCTCTTGGAGACACTTGTGTCATTTTCTTATGCGAGATACTGATGCCAGTCCGAGTACGTTCGTAGTGAGAGTAGCATTGTTCCCCATCGGATGCCGGTTTTTCATCCTTAGGAACATGTGGCGTCAAGTTGTCTCGGAGTGGTGCTACATTTTGACTCAATCAGAGATGTCGATTTTAACTTGGTGTATACATTTTTTTCTCCTGCTGATCTTGAGAGGGGAAGCTACTTTCCCGCGAAACCGGGGACATCTTATATAGTTGATTACCTTCAGTCAGCAGAGCTCCTTGGTCATGCCAGTTGTCTCGCTTTTCTAGGCGTTATTTCCGCTTCCCTCAGAAAGCTGTTAGGGCCAGTTCTTGAATCTATCTGTGAACTGCAATCGCTCTGACGAACACTGAATCGCTTCGACCTCTCTCAAACGTCAGCATCGTTTGGTGTGAAACCCGGAGACGAGAGAATCTGCTGGGAGACGAGTTGTATGGAGGGTAGTTAATCTTCCCTCTTTCTCATTTCCTAACAGTCCCTTACGCATTTTATAGCGAACAATAGATTTGGGGTCGCTTAGAGCGCTGTTTGGGAGAACGCAGGTCTCGTCGTACACACACTTAAGAAAATATCATAGCCCTTGGTAAAATCTTTCAACTGGCGGCGACTTTCGGGTCTGAACGAAGAGGTCGTCGAGAACAAACAGGTCACGTTCCAAAGTATGGACTCATAATCCCCCTCAGATATGAAATGTTGTTCAGGAGCCCTAAGTCGCTTCATTGCGCGCAAACCAGCCACTTTTCAAAGCTCATTGACTCGATCCAGCGCTTTAAAGGCACAAGTGCCGATTTTAAAAAACTCATTCAAGTGACATTCGATTGCAGTTTGTAGTCGCAACTACAAGTCTCCTTACGCAAGCCGAATTTGTAGCATATTCCGAGAGGGCCTGGCTGATTTATCCCGTCCTATCGCTCAGCCCAGACGACACCTCCCCTAAGTTTCGTTGAGCCGCACTTAAAGGCATAAAAGGTAGTCTGTCTGAAATGGTAGCAGGGGTGAATAGTGGAAAGTGGCAAGAATGCCAAGTGAAACGGTCAAAAGAACCTGCGAAAAAGGCCTTTGTTCTACACGATTAGAAAGAAATTTTGGACGAGTTACCCATTGGCATCGTGCCAATAACCGCTACGGTAGATAAGGCTGCGTACTCATGTATTCCATACTGCATCGCATCCCCTTCACATCAATCAATGAAGCGGTAGGAGCATCAGGATTGGTCGGTATTTGTGGCGGGCGGGCGCAGTGGGCGTCCGGTCGGTATGTTGCAGCTTGATAGGGCGCTATAAGGGTACCTTCCCTTGGAAAAGGCACCATGCAGCGCTTGCTCAGAGGCGCCGAATTCAGTCCTGCTAGGCATACTACTTCTGCATGTCTTAGAGGTTCATCGTGCCAACTGCCTTCAACGTCAAACTGAGTCATGACAGCCAACGTCCCATGTAGTTTATTACGCGAATTTATCTCAGAAAAACTCGACGCAGAAAGGAGCGAAAAGTCAGCAGCCAAAAAATTCTCTCACGCTCGGTAAAAATGTTCGAGCCAGATCGACCCCCTTCTCGAAGTGGCGAGTAGACACGACCCTCTCCCCCACCCTCCCAACGGGAGTCTCAACATAACCTTACGGATAGCCCACGTGAAACAGGGAAAATCAGCTATTGAAAAACATCAAAACATATTCGGCCGTATACGCCTCCCACTGGAGATTCCCTAGCCTATGACGTGCCCTGCTTGACGTTCATTATTCTAAATTTCTTAAATAATAAACATGGTATGACAATGGTCCTCAAGGCATGAATTGGAAGATGTGAATGGACCACTGTCAATTTTTTTGAGTAGGGACATGAAAAAAGTATGGGCATAGGCTGTCATGATCCAACTAATTTCACGCCAGAGTGCTGGTCGAGTCTATTTCCTAAAAAGGCTAGCTGGATTTGTGTGCAATGTCGCGACTCGCATCATTTCGGCTAGACTCGCAATGTGTCATGAACATATTTTCATGATCTGTGAGTGATTTGTAATCACTCTTCGAATTACTCATTAAATTCTCCACCATTTTTAGAGACATTTGTTTGCCCATCTAGTTGTGGGCTAGCTCACTTGTTTATTTCTATTTCATTTAGGATAATGAGAGCTTTGTACGGACAGCCTGTCTCAGCACCGAAAGCAGATGGAAAGACTGAGCTTCCTCAGAGCAGTGTTTCCAGGGATAGCTTAGTTTCTAAGAGTGCTACACCTGCGGTTTCTCTTAAACCATCAGATAATACGAAAACATCTAGCGAAAAAACACTTCCTTCTATCACTCTCCAAGCTTCTGTTCCACCGAGTTCCATCCAACCACGTTGGGAATCGTGGAGAAATCCTAGTAGTCGTGAATCTGAGAAGCCAAGCAATGGAGGGACTGCTCCGTCTAGTGATTCATGGAGAAGTAACACCAGCGGTTCTTCGAATGCAACAAGCTGGAGAAGCGATTCTAAGGTGATTTAGATTTTAATGAACATTTGCTGTTCTTGGTACGTTTTGCACCTCTCACTGTCAGTATACACTGTTTCAAGAGTTATAAGAGTTATGTTGGCAGTCAACTCCTCTTTTCAGTCAGATCGCGGAGTTAGGTGCCACTATCCGCTAAGCTGGCAGCAAAGTCCCGCGGCATCTTTTTCCACACCGTTGCATATTTGTTTACTTCCTGCTCAATCGCTTCTCCTTAGTGCCATTATGGTGATCATTTATTCTCCATGTTTGATCTCGGGATCTCGGCATCTGAATACATAGATATTTGTTTTGCTGTGAAGTTCACCGTGTTAAGGTGGAACAGTTTACTGTATAGCGTTTTTACCAAATCGTCGTTGTCCACCTGCCATTTTTGTCGTTTTCTTCTCACTTCTTTAAATTCCTGACCTAAGCTGAATGACCAGCCGTCCTTTGAAAGTCACAAGCCAGCTGGTTGCTCGAACTCAGAGTCAAGTGCTCTGCAGAAAGTTGACGAGTTTCTTCAATTAGGTCGTTGTTGAGAATAAAACACGCAAAAGCTGACGAGAGAGGCGAAAATTTGATTTAGAAGAAGAAGGGCAGCCTTGTTCGATTCAACTCGCTTACTGTCCTACATTTTTGAGCGAATCGTTGACGGTCGTATACGGTAAATCGTTCAGCTTTCTATCAGTCAGTGCGGTTTTGTGGCAGGCTGTAGCACCATCGAAGCCATACATACCGTGCGTCCTCTGCTGGAGAAACAGAAACGAAGGCGACTGCGTCTAACTTTCCTGAACCTGGAAAAGGCACTTGATCGCGTTCCGCGGAAGGTATATGGCACGTCTTGCGACAAAATGAAGTTCTCGAGAAGCTTATTGAATGGGTGTGCATGCTGTGTTCAGCTCAAAGAGCCGCGTACAAACACTGACATCCAGGCGCATATCAATATCTGCGTTCTCCCCACTTCTTTTTGCGGTCGTCTGGATAGAATCTCACGAGATCTTCAGAAACCGAGTCCATGGACGCTTCTCTACGCAGATGATGTGGTGCTGGCCAGTGAAGATAAGAGCGACCTCGAGCAACAGGTGCAAGCTGGTCTGATCGCCTGGCAAAGTTCGGACTGAAGTTGAACATCAAGAAAACCGAGTACTTGACGACGATACGAAATGAGTCCGATTCCATTAAGATCAGTGGCATCGAGCTTACACATACACACAAGAATCTTGAATTATCTTGGATCAGAAAGTGTGTACCGCGCGTCCTCTTGCTGGAGAACCGACGGCAGCCTGGCCTCAGAGGTGAACTCAGCGTGGGTACAGCATGGGCGAATGACGCTCCATGACTGGAGTTATTTGTGAGAAGACGATACCGGAGCGCCTCAAATCGAAGATCCATACAACTATGGTTAGGCCAGTGAGTACGGTTCTGGCTGCGACCACAGAGGTAGAAGTTCGTGGTGGAAATGAAAGTGCTACGTTGGACAGCCGGTGTCACGCGTATGGATCACGATGGCACACGCAGTAAATTCGGCATGCTTTCATAGTTGATAAATGTGAGAATCTCGTCTCCGATAGTATGGCCACGTCTTCAGCACGAAGGTGGACAGTGTCTTCAGCTAGAGGTACTCGGAAAACGTCCCAAGCAACGCTGACTCGACACGCGGCACGCGGATTCGAAGATAATTGGCGCTCACTCAGATCAGGCATTAAATCGGGAGAAATGGCGTCACAAAATCTGAAGCAGATTCCGCCTCAGAGTGGGGCAAACCCTGAAGAATAAGAAGAGAAAAACAAGGAATGTAGGTGATACAATCAGATGGGTGCATAATATAACGTTAAATGAAGGCTTTTGAATCCATGATTTTAGTTTAGGTAGCAAGTATTGTATCAATTTTCAAAGAGCTGCATTTACCTCGAGAGTCGGAAGGCGACATGTATCGGGAAATTGCTCTATTGTGTTGTATTGGGGTAGTTTCTTTCTGGGGAAACA